CCACACCCACTGCCTTCCCCTCGTCCGTCCATCCGGTGATGCCATCATAAAAAGCTATCCGAGGGGTCAGGCATGACTTCCCCTTGGTGCATCCAAGACCTTTGCACCTGCTTTGAAGAACCGCAGGGAAGTTACTTTATCCTTCCCAAAGCCCTCCATAAGCATGGATGGAGGTTCCAAACTCCTGGAACATTCATGGTAAGTATCCATTTTTTATCCAAATGGGGAGGGGAAACAGAGACAACCACGTCAGAGCAGATTGTCCTCACAGGCAGGACGACATCCCGCATCTCCAATCCCTTCCTCTGCGGATGAGCCCACCAGGACTTAAGCAGCTGGAGAGTACTTCCAGAAATACTCCCCAAAGTCACGACCCAGGACCGTATGTAAATGAGCTGCAATATCCGCGGGCAAATCATGAGGAAATGGTAAAATTTCTACCTGGCTTATGCTTGATATTCGCCTTAGAGCCGCACTTCGAGGACACTTTGGAAAGGTCAACTTTCTTGTTCTGGATCTGCACCTGAAGAGGCAAAAAGAAACAACTCAACGGAACGTCTCCCGCGAATCCGGAGGCCAACACCCCAGCTCAATCAGGTCACGCTTCATTAACCCACGCCCCTCTTCCACCCTGTTACGTTTGCACGCCGATTTCCCAGCTTTCGCCTTATTTCCAGGCCTGCACCAGCCCAAAGTGGTCAATGTGGGCAGAGATGGAGACCAGCTACAGTTTGGCCAGGAACGGGAGCCTGGAGTTCCTGGCACACCCACGGAAGACAAAAGCACATGGGAAAGGGACCTCAAACCCAAAAGCCAATCCCATTGCCATGTTCCCTAGACCGGCCCCGCAGCTCCAGAGTCACCAGAACACGTCATCTCACGGTCCCCCTCAGCCACTCTCGCCGTAGAATCATAGAATGGTTTGGGTTGGAAGGGACCTTAAAGATCATCCAGTTCCACCCCCCCTGCCATGGGCAGGGACACCTTCCATAGCCCAGGTTGCTCCAAGCCTCATCCAGCTTGGCCTTGAAGACATCCAGGGATGGGGCATCCACAGCTTCTCTGGGCAACCTGTTCCAGTGCCTCACCATCCTCTCTGTGAAGAATTTCTTCCTGATATCTAATCTAAACCTCCCTGATTTCAATTTATACCCGTTACCCCTTGTCCTATCACTACAGGCTCTTGTAAAAAGTCCTCTCCTAGCACCCTTGTAGCCCCCTTCAGATACTGGAAAGCTGCAATGAGGTCTCCTCGGAGCCTCCTCTTCTCCAGGCTGAACAAGCCCAATTCTTGCAGCCTATATTCTACCGTGGCGTCTGTGAAGTGTCTTCTCCGGGGCAGGACAAAGGTGGAGTCACAATGTCACCGGTTTTCTGCCTGTTCGCTCAAAAAATACTTCACCTCCAACACCTGGACCAAGCGCGTTGTACGGAGCCCCATTCCCAAGGCCTTTACAATCCCTCCTGCAGCTCCAGGTGGATGAAAAATTCCTCTGTTCCAGACTTCCCTTCTTGTCTAACCACTTGGGCATCTTCCACTTCACACAGGGGATGCTTTATACGGCAAGGGACTCGTGGTCATCTGGAGTAACCCCCTGCCAGGCTGACATTACCCCTTGGTGGGCTGTTGGGTAGCAATGTTAGGAGAGTCACCTCTCCCAGCGGCGTCAGCAACCAGCAGCCAGCACCTGCGTGCCCAGAAATCCTGCTGTTTCTGGTCTCACAGAGAAAATGAATGTTATTTTCTTTGGAATGTGACAAGAGCTCCTTCACTCCCAAGCTACTGGAAAAGCTTACTGAGAATTACCAGGGTAACCTGCAATACAGGAGGCAGGAACCCTCCTCCCGCTTGGGAAGAGGGATGAGTCAAAGCCCTGACATCTGGTTTGCTCGGAAGGGGAACGGCAGAGCTCGGCCTCCTGCCCCGCTCTCCCACGTTCACGTACCCTGACTCAGTCACACCACACGCTGCGAAGAGGTGGGATCAGGGCTGCGGAACGTGACTGTCTTTGGAGGCTGCCAGTGAAGTTGGTACAGCTTGTGTCACACTTGGAACCGGAATGAACCTGAATTTATGTCACAGAACGCTGTCCAAAATCACCGCGGCTGTCATCCGCCCGGTCACGTACCCGGCTACGACCCCTCACGGATTCAGCCGGGGACGCAAACCATTATGTCCCAGTGGAAGTGCGTTTGTGGTGAGATTTATAGCATGAGCTGGTTCGAGTCTGCAACGGGAGACCCGTGCAAAGGCCTGGGCTTGCATTTACAGAGCCAAACGCTCAGACTCTGGCGCCAGAAACATTAGAGCGTGATGCAGAAGCTCAGATGGGAAGTGCGATCCTCATCCCTCTGAAGATTTTCCATCTCTGACCGGTCCCCAGTCCGTCTACGCGGTCAGAGAAGCAGGTACATTCCAAATCCCCCTGTTAAATCCTCAACAGCATGGACACTACGGCCCTTGGGAAATCGACCTCTTCCCTGGGGCTTTCTTTAAAAGGAGAGGGGAAAATACTGAAGGACAAGGAAAGCTTTTTCACAGGAAATCTAACTACGTGTCTAGGTGTTTTTGGTAAATAGAACGTGAGCAGAAACAGTATCTACTCCTTCTCAGCACGTTTTCCTGGGTACCCTGCACGGGGAGGACATGATCCCTGCGTACGGAAGCAGGACGGGTACGCGGAGCGTTCCGGCTAGGAACCACGTCACTGAGGATGTCCATCACTTTTACCAGAGCAACCCTAAAGCTGAACTGGAATTTGCTACTAACCACAGCTCTCGGCCACAGGATTCCTAAGGGATTCAGCTGAAGCCATAGACCAGAACAAGGGACGTCGCACATATCCCCATGCGCAGTGTGCTTCGGGAATTAAACACCTGGGGGACTGCTATGAACCACAGAATCCCAGGATGGTTTGGGTGGGAAGGGACCTTAAAGCCCACCCAGTCCCACCCCCTGCCATGGGCAGGGACACCTTCCATAGCCCAGGTTGCTCCAAGCCTCATCCAGCCTGGCCTTGGACACTCCCAGGGATGAGAAGCGATCATCGGAACTATCTGAAAAGGAAAACACTTGGGAAGAGGATACTAGTGTTAGTGCCCAAAGGGGAGCGTGGGATATAAAAACGAATAAAAGGGTCTGCTTTTCTAGGATGGCAGGCTGGCTGCTGCGCCTCGTCCACACTCGCTGGTACAGACAGCGCTGGGTTTGGCTGGCAGCGACGGCCTAAAGCTGGTCTGGGGGTATCTGGGACCTGGAAATAATCAGCACTTTCTGTTCTCAAAGCAAAAAGCCGATGTGGTTGAGCAAGGAGGAAAAAGTGCAGTGGTAGGAGGGGAGTGTGGGAGAAGAGAAAAAGAAAGAGGGCACACGTTTGTCTCCTAGAGCGGGGAACACTGCCAGGAGAGCGCCGAGGGAAGGACAACTTCCTTGGTGCTCTCCCTCAACATCGGAAGGATATAGACTGGTTGGAGCGAGTCCAGAGGAGGCCCCGGAGATGCTCCGAGGGCTGGAGCCCCTCTGCCATGGGGACAGGCTGGGAGAGTTGGGGGGTTCAGCCTGGAGAAGGGAAAGCTCCGGGGAGACCGCAGAGCCCCTTCCAGTGCCTGGGGGGCTACAAGGAAGCTGGGGGGACTTTTCCCAAGGGCAGGGAGTGACAGGATAAAGGGTGACAGGTTTAAACGGAAAAAGGGAGATGGAGATGGGACATCAGGAAGGAATTCTTCCCAGGGAGGGTGGGGAGCACTGGGACAGATTGCCCAGAGAAGCTGTGGATGCCCCATCCCTGGGAGTGTCCAAGGCCAGGCTGGATGAGGCTTGGAGCACCCTGGGCTATGGAAGGTGTCCCTGCCCGTGGCAGGGGGTGGGGCTGGGGGGGCTTTAAGGTTCCTCCCAACCCAAACCATTCCAGGATTCTATGATTCTACGACAGGTTGGCGATTCAGCAGAAGAAAGAGCAGTTCGCTGCTGTGGTTGATCAAACACCAAAAGTGACCCCGGACGTAGAGCATGTTTCTGCTGGCCTCAGAAAGACGAAAAGTATGTGAGAGACTCGTGGTCTCGGGCTGCACAAGGTAGGAGTGGGAAAATGGGATTACAGAACAGAGCAGGTGCCCTCGAACACTGCAGCCAGAGCCAGAACCTGCCGGCTACATAAAAATGCTCCTTTCCAAACCAGGGCGACAAAGCCAGATGAAATACGCAGCAGGAACAGAAAAACCACTGTTAAAGGCACCTAATGGTCTCGACACCAGTTTCTCTTCCCACGGCGCAGAGAATTGTCCTGCGTGAGCGTTTCTACGGGACGTGCCGTCCCGGCGGTGGTGGGAACACCCACCTGTGCCCAGGTCATGGCAACACCAAGTAAGAATGGCAACTCCCACCGCGGGGGAGAACCTGCAAAGCGGAAGGCAAGGACGCGCATCCAGAGACTCTCAACGGGAAGTCAAGCTTGGTTTGGCAAACGGAGCATTTGGAGGAAACAAGTGTGTTGAGAACCTACGTTTGCTGGCTTCTTGCAAAGATTTAAGGAAGAATTAGTCACGTGGAGTAAATCCCGGGAGGGGTTTCAGGGCCATGTGGACGAGGCGCTTGGGCGAGTGGGGGGCTGGGCACTGCTGGGGTAACGGTTGGACTGGGTGATCCTGAAGGTCTTTTCCAACCCAAACGATTCGGTGACTATACAGCAACATTAAGCCTGGCCCCAGAAATCAAATATTCGCAGGGAGTTTCACTGAGGCTGGCTCTCAGGCCCAGACAAAGCACCACAAGACCTACATCCCCCCTCAGGAACTTGGCATATTTAAACACGAGTGGAAGAGGCTTCCTTGGGCTTAGGTGTCTTTTGGAGAGGATCCAACCTCTGTACTTCCACAAGCCATCCCTAGCAGCAGCACCTAGAGTGGATGTAGTTGTTAAGGCAGTACACACTTGCCCCCAAGGAAACAAGCCCGCCAAACTACAGTCATGTTTTCAAGGGCTTTAGTCATTTTTTCCAAAATCTAGGTAGTTAACGGCAGTCAAGCTATGGTCATTTTCCCCCAGTCTAGGTAGCTAACCCATTTTACTCTGCCAGACGCTTTCAGGATAGAATATGCCAAGTACACAGTCGGAGATTAGCCTTCTATTTTCATCAGCTCAACCCTGCTGCCAGACACACCAGTAGCCTTTAAATTTAGAAATTAATCACAGCTCAAAGACTAAGCCCCAGAGTCTTTTCCTCCTCTGTTATCAAAGTCTCCCTCCTCCTGAAACAAGAAGTGAAATGAGTCTGACTCAGGCCTGCTTCATTAGTCAGCGAAGGGTAACGGACACCTCTAGGCCACGGTTCATCCGTGAAAGAAATGAGACATCTCAAACAGGTCAGAGGAGTGGCGAGGGGCAGAGGGAATCCACGGTGAGCAAACCCCTGGGATCGCAGACGGGCACATCCTACATTTGGTCCTGGATACCACATCAAGCACGCGAGAAACAGGTCAGGTGTACTTGCAGTACTACGGAGCAAGACACACGCATTCAACCTGGCATCCCACAGGGGAAGAAATTAAAAATTCTCCAGCCTACACTATTTCCAGAAGCCCTGAAACTCTGCCACACCTTCCTGCCTGAAAGACAGCATTCGTAAGACTGACATAAAAACACAGTACAAGAGAAGGAGTTAGTGGAAAGACAGCTTTGCCCAGAGCCCATACTTACATTCCCACCTCCAGGGACATGCTTAATATTGTCCTTGGAACCACACTTGGACTGAACATGGCTGTAGTTCGCTTTTTTGGAGACTATCTGGACCTGGAACGTTACAGAATGGAAAACAACACAAGGGAAGAGGACTGGTTAGAGTTGTCATACGGCAAGCTGGAGTGGATGCTCTAACACGGTGGATACACAAGGAGTTGTGTTAAACTCAATCCAACTTTAGGATTAGGTGTGAAAGCAACTGAGGAGGAGAGTGAGAAAAAAAGTGAACGAAACAAGAGGCTGCACAGACAGTGTTAGTGCGAGGGCGTAAGCGCTACCATGAAGACTGCTGATTCACGGACCCTACGGCTTGGCTGCTCCATAGACCCTACGGGTTGGCTGCTCCATGGACCCTACAGCTTGGCTGCTCCATGGACCCTACAGCTTGGCTGCTCCACGGACCCTACGGCTTGGCTGCTCCATGCACCCTACGGGTTGGCTGCTCCATGGACCCTACAGTTACCCTACGAGTTGGCTGCTCCATGGACCCTATGGGTTGGCTGCTCCATGGACCCTACGGTTACCCTACGAGTTGGCTGCTCCATGGACCCTATGGGTTGGCTGCTCCATGGACCCTA